TTGCCGAGTCTGCAGTGCCCTCCGGTGGGCACCGCTCCGGAGCCGCCAGCCGCCCGGGACACCGTCCCCTGCGCCCCAAAGCCCCGCAAAGCGATGGGGGACCCTGACCCCTCCACCCCAAAGCCCTGCAAGGTGCTTCAGGACCCGATCCCCCCCATCCCAAAGCGCTCTGGGGCACTGGTCCTTTCCCCCTCAAAACCCCTGCAGGGATGCTCCAGGACATCCCGAATGGCTCCAAGACCCCATTCCCTCCCTGCCAAAGCCCTGCAAAGCAATGGGGGACCCCATCCCTCCCGCCCCAAAGCCCCTCAAAGTTCTGGGGGACCCCATCCCCTCATCCCCAAAGCCCTGCAAGGTGCTTCAGGACCTGGTCCCCCCATCCCAAAGTGCTCTGAGGCACTGGTTCTTTCCCCCTCAAAACCCCTGCAGGGATGCTCCAGGACACCCTGAATGGCTCCAAGACCCCGTTCCCTCCCCGCAAACCCCCGCAGCCCAGCTCCTCTCCCTGTCCCTTGCCTGCCGAGCATCCCACCCTCCCAGCTCTGACCGAGCAGCAGCCAGCAGCCCGCATGGGCAGCGCAGCAGGATCCGGCTGCTGGAGCCCATCGCCCCGCACCAGGGCTGGCAGGGGCAGGCAGGGAGGCCAGGGCTGGCAATTAGAAGTTTTCTTTGAAAAAGCGGAAGCCGAAGTGCTCGCAATGCGCCCTGATGACTTTGGCAAGTGCCGGCGAGCCACAGAAGAAGACCTGGACTTTCCCTCTCTTCTCCTCTGCCACCTTCTGAAACACCTAGGGCACAGGCGAAAGGAGAAGAGGAGGTGGTGGCACAGCCCGCGCCCTCCCCGGGGATGGCCGGACCCCTGCCGGCTTTGGCCACTGCTTCCCAGCATAATCCAGCCTCCCCAGGCCCCCACAGCCCTCACTTTCCCACAGGAGGATATCCCAGTCTGGATATCCCGGTGCATCCTCCCGCTCCAAAACGGGGCTCTCCCGTGGTGTCCCTTACAAAGAGCAGGTTCGGGGGACATGGGTCCCTTCCCATGAGCGTGATTTTGGCAGCGGGGCAAAGCCAGCCCTCACCTTGCTCCAGTTGGGGCGGCCGGGCTGGGTCCTGGTCCGCAGCCCCGTGATCGAGTCCCTCTGCTCCTTGGCGGACAGCAGGTCCAGGGCCATCTGCAGCCCGATGGCCTTCATGTCGTTCTTGCCAAGGGCCGACGTCATGTACATGTGCATCTCCAAAAACCACCCTGGGCGTTCAAGGGGAGCCCGGCTGCAGACGGGGGGTCCAGCCCCACACCGTGCCCCCTGGGGCTGGGTTGGGCAATGCCAAGAATGGGGCTGGGGACCCCTGGATCAGCGCTGGCCGGCCCCTGCCTCCCGCTCACCTCCTGGCTCCTGCTCAGCCTGCTCCATTTCCAGCTTCGTTAGCAGGCTGACGAACCACTCAAAGTGCTTCTGGTCCCGGTTTATCCAGATGAAGTCAACCTGGAAGGACAGAGCAGCCCCTGCTCGGGAGCTGGCAGGCAGCAGGGGGACCAGATCCACCCACCCACCTCCCCAGACCTCCCGCAGCAGGAAGGGATGCTCGTGGGCTCTCCACCCCCGGGACCCTGCAGCCCATCCCCAGGGCTTGGTCCTGGCGTGTCCCCCCCCTGACTGCTCCTACCTTCCTGAGAGTCATCTCCTCGTCCCGCAGGTCCTCGCACCACGAGTGGTGGCAGCTGGGGCAGCTCTGCTTTCGCCGGCGGTACCTGCATGGGCAGACGCAGCCCTGCCTGCCCCACCACCCCCCCCCCTCAGACCCCAGCAGACCTTTGCAGGGGGACCCTGAGCGCCCATTCCTCACCAGCTCTGGTGCATGCCCGTGGCCAACTCCTGCCAGCAGGCTCCCCACGGCAGAAATCCCCCAGGGGAACCCTGACACCCAGGGAGGACCCTACTGGGGGTCTCATGCCCATGTGTTATGCGTCCCAAGGTTAGAAGCGAGGAGGGCCAACGGAGGGGTGTTGGAGGACAGGTCTGCCGTGGCACGCATCGCGTCTTGGGCCTCCCAGAGCCACATCAGGGCTCGTTTTGGGGATGGCGTTGCTCCACCAGCGCGACCGCAGCCTGAGCAGCTGCTGCTACGGCACCGACCTGTGCATGATGCTCTGCAAAATGGAAGCGAAGGGGGTGATGCCGATGCCCGCGCCGATGAGCACGGCGTGCTCCGAGGTGAAGATCCTCCGCGTCGGGGTCCCGTAGGGGCCGTCGATGTAGCACTAGGAGAGCCGAGAAACGGGGAGAGATCCAGCAGCCCCCTAGGTGCTAAACCAACTCTCAGGCTGCAGAGAGGAGCAGGGCTGGTGTGCAAGGGGCACCGCAGGCTTACGGAGCTCAGGCAGAATCTGGGGTCTTTTACGGGATATTTTTGGGGAGCAGAGGCAGAGGATGGGGCCAGGCAGGAGGGCAAAGCCCTCGGCAGCACGGGGTTTGCCTCAGCCCCAGGCGGGACCACCGTGCAGAGGGGGACACACGCGTGGGGTGGCCGGGCACGTGCGTGGGTCCCCGCTGGGATGCGGAGCACAGCCCTGCTCGCGGAGCCAGGGAAGGACCCGGGCGCCCCTCACCTTGACGCTGCAGAGCCGACGGGTCCCACCGAGCCCGGCCGAGACCTGCGAGGCAAAGAGAGCAGTGACCACCTCCTCCCCCCCACCCCAACCCCTCCGCAACCGCTAACGCTGAGCCCATTTGTGCCCTGGGTTTGGGGTTTGGGTGATTTTTTGTTCTTTTTTTTTTTTTTCTGTCCAGCTTCCCCGAGCCAAGCCCATTGCAGTGCCCGCCCTTCTGGGGGGACGCCCCACCGACGTCCAACACCATTAACCTGCCACCCCATGATGTTATCCAGACTGTAATTGGTTTGAGTATTGATTAAAAAGGCAATTATCCAAATCCCCACACAAGTTGGGGGGTGAATAATGGGTTTCCCAGGACCGCGATGGCCCGGGCGGTGGGAGCAGGCGTGGGGAACCCGCGTTCACCAGGGGACATATAAGAGCAAAAGAGGGACGGGGAGAGAAACTCATGAAAAATGATGCATGTAAATTCATTGTCTGTAAGGACTGCTCCTCCAGCCCAGACGGAATCGATATCCTGAGAGCTTTTCATGTTCAGGGATAAAAGCCGCTCACAAGGTGGCTCTCAGCGTCCTGGCATCTCCATCCGAGAAGTTTCTTTTAAAGAGAGGTTTTTAACGTGCTGCGGCCCGCTGGGGATGGGAGTGATGCTTCCCTTCATTTCTCCAGGCTGGTCCTTCAGCCGCCGCCGTGCTGATGAGAGCAGAGCCCCCCCCTTCCCGCCCCGCCGGCACCGGGGGCTCTGCCCCTGTCCCCTGGGGAGCGCGTGGGGGTCTCAGCGGCGCTGGGCGAGGGTAGGAGATGGTGCTCACCCCCCTCACCGGCGGGTCCTCCCCTCCTGGGGCGGCAGCTCCCATGGCTCTGTACGACGTCAGCTGAACGGCTCCATCCCCACCGGTGGCCACGGACCCTCGCTCTGAGCCGGCCCCGCTGCAGAGACCTTCCTGGAAGCCAAAGGCCAACGCATCACTGGCCGTGACGCCCACGGGCACCTGGTGCCCCATCCAGCAGGGTCATTACGGCCTCGGCAAGGGGTGGGACACGAAATCCTGCAAGGCTGCACAACACCCCGCAGGGGACGCACACCACGAGAGGTACCCTGGCACCCGGCGGGTGAAAACTGGGGTGAGCCTGGGGGGCCCCGCTCAGCAGAGAGCATCCAGCCCGGACCTGTTGACACTTCCCTGCTTTTTTGGAGCTGGCCAGGGACAGACCTGTCCAGCAGAGCCCCTCACGCCTGCCAGATGAGGACGTCGGCTTGAGCAACCCATGGGCACGCTGGGGGGCCCTCAGCTTGGCAAAGCCACCATTACCCTTGCTGGGATGGGTGCATCGGGGGGGCCTCACCCCCTCCTCACCAATGGCTGCCAACCGGCAGCATTTTAAGGTCTAACCTCTGTGGTTTGCTGGAAGCTGAGCCCCGTCGGCACCAACCTGGGCCCAGCACCGGCGTCTCTTCTCCCGCAGGCTCCTGCTGAGCGGTTTCGGCTCTGGGCTGGGCGGTTCGGGCTGCTGGAAGTATTTGTACAGCTTGTTGGTCCACTGGCCCAGCGACCTGATGTGCAGCCAGAGGGTCTCTGCGGGATGAAGCGGAGCAGGGGGTGGGCATCCTGCCCCAGGAACTGCCCTGCAGCCCCCGCACCGCACAGCTCCGGCCCCGGCAGCAATCCCCACCGGCGTCCTTCGCGTCAGCCCTGGGCTTGCAGCAGGGGACTGGGTTTGCTCTAACAGCTGGGTGAAACCCAAACCCCAAACCTTGGGCACCCGCAGAGCCAGGCAGGGCATTCATAGAACAGAATCATGGAATCATTTGGGTTGGGAAAGCACTTTAAGCTCCCCCAGCCCAACCGTTCCCCTAACCCTGCCATCCCACCCCCAAACCCTGTCCCTCAGCACCGCCTCTGCCCGGCTGTTAAATCCCCCCAGGGCTGGGGACTCGACCCCTTCCCTGGGCATTTCCTGGGTGCCATTTGGTCCCCATGCCTTGCTTGAAATAACCCAAGGGTGTGTTTTTATACGGCACCCATGTAGAGGCAGAGGTGGCGGCAGGGGAGTCGAGGCATGCACCAACACAGGCTGCCCCGCTCCATGGGCATGGACACCTCCTTGCAGGACCCTCAGAGGGGATCCAGCCGCCCCGACGGGGCTTGCACGATGCAAAGCATCATCCCGGTGAGGCAAAACACCATCCTGGTGATGCAGAGCGAGCGGTGGGTCAGCCATCACCTTGCTGCTCAGGAGCGCTGCTGATGGTGAAGGGGTGCCACTCGTAGGTGGCGATGGCTGGGATGTTCAGGTAGATGTAGTCTCCGGGCTTGTAGTGGAAAAACTGGGGTCTCTCGATCACAAGGTGAGTGACCTAGAAGAAAAGGAGGGCCAGGGAAGCTGGGAGCACCCAGCGGGCACGTTACTTGAAAAATAGGCCAAAATTCAAAATGAAAAAAGAAATTGCTTGCAAACAAAAGGATCGCTTTCACCTTTCGCTGCAAACATTCACCAGCACAGCCCGAAGCAACCCAATCCCGCATCTTTTCCATATAAACTATTCATTGCGCCCCGTCCCTGCCGCGTGTGGCCAGGGGAGCGTCCCCCTTCCAGCTCGCTGTGCAAACTCACCGGGGCCGCCACCCCCCCCATCTCCCACTCTCCTTCCTCTTCCCCCGTGTCAAGTAACCGCGTGGTCAACGTGCAAAGCACTCTTCCCTAAACTGCAAACCGCTTTGCAAATATGAAAGGTCTTTCTGCGCACCCCAGCATCTTTACTGGGGCTCTCGGAAGAGGAGAGCATCGGGTGGGGAGGTGAGAAGGGGCATGGAAGCCCCCGTGGGCGCAGACCTTGGAGGGGAGGAGGTTGACCTCCACGATGCGCAGCCCCCCAGCACGCCGCCAAGCCAAGCCGACCACCTTCTCCAGCACAAAGAGGCAGCCGGGAACCACAAACCACTTCCAGAAGTGGGGGCCGTGGAGGATGAGGAGGGTCCAGACAGAGATGTAGGAGAGGTGGGTCCAGTAGAAAACCTGTGGGCAGGGAGCAGGGGGCGAGGGGGGAGCTGAGCATGAACTGAAAGTGGTGGAGCCAAACGGTGCTTTGTGGGGAGGCTGTGCCAGGGCATCCTGGGGGGCAAAGGCAGCCCAAATGATGAAGAAAAGCACAGAACCCCCAAAACTGCAAATCTGAGGAGGGCGGGGGTGCCCAAGGGAGGTATCGAGGGGCACCGCACCGGCTCAAGAGCTCTCCCCCACCCATGAGGCAGCTCCCAGATGGGCACCCACCCACCAGACCCTCACCCTGGGGTCCCCCACTCCCCGAGACAGAGCAGCTTTGGGCACTGCTGGGGTTTTCCAGGTGGCATGGGGCCGTGGCGGGACCCACCTCGAAGTGTCCGCTCCGTCGGACGCAGGGGCTGGAGAAGGCGAGCATGGTGGCCAGCAGCCCCTGGAGTGCCAGCCCCGTCTGCGAGGCCGTGCCGCCCAGGCCCCCCACGCCGGGCCGTGCTGACAAGAGGAATTCGGCGAGGCCGTGGCGCCCGTCCTGCCGCGCCAGCCTGCCTGGGCACACGCACGGTCAGGGCGGGCACGGGCACCCACGGCACCCACCCGCTGCACACCCAGATTTCTGCTGCCCCCACCCAACTGGTGCCAACTTTATTTATTTTTTTTTTTTAAACTAAGAAGCACCCAAGTGCTTTGCTCAGACATCTTTAAAAATGCGATGTTTCTCCTTCCCGGAGCCCATTCTCGGGCTCAGCATCATTGCAAAGGGGGCTGTTCTGCACGCGGGTGGGCAGTGCGAGCAGACGTGTTCCCCTCCTCACGCCCCAGGGTGGAGGGTGCAGCCCTGGCACCCTGCCGTGGGGGGCGGGGGGCCGTGGGGCGCAGGGCTGCGGGGCACAGACCCCACGCAGGAGCTGCGTGGGAGCCCTTTGCTGCCCGTCTGGGAAGCCGCTAGAGGGGGATAACAGACAGCACACAGCCACAGCACGCAGACTGTGCGGCACCGCACGCGCCCTCCGGCTGCCCGCACCCTGCCCGCAGCGTCTCAGCCCCCCTGGGCATGGGCACCCCCCTCTCCAGGCCTTGCATCCTCCTCCCTGGGACATGTCCACCCCGCAGGAGACATGCATCCCCTCCATGGAGCATGGGCATCCCCCCCCCAGCAACACATGCATCCCTTCCCCGGGCCGTGAGCATCCCCCTTGGGGCTCAGCAGCTTTTCATCAGCGCAGTGTGGGTGATGCCCCCCACACCGAAGGGCATTTTCCCCTCCAGCAGAGAGACTGGCAGGGGGGAACCCACCACGGGCTTGACGGGGCGTGTTAGAGTGGGTGTCCAGAGATAAACCCATGGCAGCCGAAGGGCCTCCCCTGCCCGGGAGCTGCTACTTACTGAAGTTGGCGATGTGGGCGCCCGTGTGAACAGCGGCCAGCGCCAGCACCACGTACCCCACGAGCTGGTGGAAAACGACGTGCTGGTCCAGCGGCACCACCTCGGCGATGGGGGTAGCTCGCAGCCAGGTCAGGCACCTCCGCAGCATCAGCACCTCCGGGAGAGGGGAGATCAGAGGTGCTGGGGGGAAACTGGAGATGCCAGGGGACCCAGCCAGGGGCTGGTCCCCTGGGGCTCCAGAGCCAGCTCCCGGCTGACATGGGGTGTCGGCCCAGAGCACCCAGAGGCACTCCTCTGCAGGGAGCACCCCGTGAATGCCCTTGTCCCAGAGAGCTCCCAACCTCCCTAACCCCTTAGTTATATATAATGAAGGGAGGAGGCAGCCTGGTCCCACTACTGCAACAGTCCAGAGGCTCTATTACTGCCCTCAGAAGACCCCCTGGCTCAGGGATAAGGTCCCAGTGTAGATGTGACTGCAAATAGCCCAGGCAACCATCGCCCCGTGCCCCCTGCGAGCTCCGCGTCCCTCCCATGGCCCAGGACCCAGCACTCACTGCGAGGAAGGCACAGTTGAAGTTCAGGCACTGCCCGCAGCCCCGGGCCACCACCACCCACCCCCCCAGGCCGGCGTGCCGCAGGGCGGCCAGGGCGAAGAGCAGGAGGTTGAGGCTGGCGTAGCCCCCCAGGAAGGCGAGCTTGCTGCGGTGGTTGTGCCAGTATGCCCTGGTCAGGTAGCGTGGCTGGCGGCTCC